AATGTTTTATGTTTTATTTGGATGGTTGGGATAGCACAGGAGTACTGGAAGTATATGCCTATCCCACTATAAACAGTGTCTTCTCCTGAAAGAACTTTGATGATCTCAAGCACGGCCATGGATTACTCTAGATGTCTTGTCTTGGAGACTTTAATGTCAATTGATACTTTCCTATGTCAGTGTCTCCTTCTAAGTGGCTTTTATCTCCCACAGATTAAGATTTATATTTTAAGGTTGCTGAATAAAATACCGTGTTTCTCCAACAATACAGCCCCCCCAATAGGAAGGCCCAGCATGTTTTTAGGCATAAAATGAAATTAAGCCCCTCCCCCACAAATTTAGGCCTATTTTAAAACATGCAAAATGGGGAAGGGTGGGGGGGCCTTGCCATTAGGAGCACCTCATGGACAGCCATGCCTCACCACCAGCCACTCATAACAGCCGATCATGGCGGAGCGCAGAGAACTCCCTACTCCTGCCAAGTACCTTTGCTGCAGACCCGGGTATGGTGCTGCCTGCAGGCCGGGTCAGTGGGCGGGCGGCGGCAGCATGTATGTCAGCCTCAGTGGGGCACCTGCCACTGCTGCTTCCTCTTGGATCATCCTCTTCTGTTTGGAGTGTCATCGCCATGTTTGGAGCTGCCACCGGTGCGTTTGGAGCATTGCCGCCACGTTTGGAGCTGCTGCTGCCGGTGATGCTCCAAACGTGGTGGTGGCAGCTCCAAACGCAGTGGCAGCTCCAAACATGGCAGTGATGCTCCAAACGCGGCGGCAGCAGCTCAAAATGCAGCAACGACACTCCAAATGAAAGAGGATGCTCCAAGAGGAAGCAGCGGCGGCAGGCGCCGCACCGAGGCCAACATCCACGCCGCTGCTGCCCACCCGCCCGTCCGAGGATGCAAGGGGGGGGATTAAGTCACCCCCGAAAAGAAGTCCTAGCCATTTTTTCGGGGCTTAAAAAAAAATAAGACCCGGACTTATTTTATGAGAAACACAATAGTAAATAACCCATATAAAACTAGGCGCATAAGGATTAGTTTGTCAGACACATTTTGAAGAATCAGTAAATTAAAGAAAAATATAGAGTCACATTCATTTTGTTCAGAACATAACCTAAGCATATAAAAGTCCATAGCACAGAACCTATTAAATGAATCTAACAATAAATACATCAAACTTAACACCTTATCAACACCTAGAATTTCTTTGTCTTGGGAAGAGTGTAATAGAAAACTAAAACTAAGCTTAAAACGAAGTCCCATTTGTTTTTACTTGGAGGCTTCCTATGTGACAGAATAGGGAATGAATTATGAATCTATTTTAGTCAAAGTGTCATTAAAGAAAGTAGGAATATGTTGCTATCTTTATTCACACATTTCACTAACATTGAGTCCTCAACATATGAGGGGCTATCATCTATCTCTTTTTGATCTTATATACCCAGTGTTTCTCAATCTTGAGAAGATGTATGGACTTCAACGCCCAAAATCCCCCAGCCAGTGTGCTGACTGTGGAATTCTGGGAGTTGAAGCTCATACAACTTAAAGTTCCCAAGCTTGAAAAACACTGTTATTTACAATGACACCATGCTAGCCAGCCTGGGATGACTAAGGATTTGATGCTCACCATAATGTTCTGAACATTTTCATTGTCATAGCAGATCACTCTCTGGTCAATTTAGACTGGCAACTGCTATCAATCCCTGGAAGAATTGAAGATCAGTTAAAATGTTCTAAATGAGGTCTGAAAGATTCAGATGATTTTTTAAAATTGTGCATAGAATAATTTTCACTATTCTGGCTAAGCAATGTTTCTCTAACAGAATCAATGAGACCTTTTTAAAAATTAAAGAACTGAGATTAATGAAACAATTAGGTTGAATCTCAAATGGAGGATCTCTCTTAATGAATCAGAAAAAAAGAGACTCTAGTAACAGAAATAATGAAAAACACTACTCATTGGCCGATAACGCTTTTCTGTGCTGTGGGGCATACCCTTCATAAATATATTGAGGGTGGATAATCGTAATAGTCAGGGGTGTGCTGCCAGCAATTGTCATAATACTTTGCAGACAAAGTCATTCAAACTTTGACTTAATTTGAATGCCAATACTGGTAGGTCACAGGAAGTAATTTTAGCAAATATGAGCATTGTAAACTTGGTAGTTGGTTGAAATTGAAATCCAGACAACAGAGAAGAAAAAATGGATTAGGGGTATCAAGATGAAACTTGTTATGGGTATAATTGCATTCCTACAGAGACTGGTTTGCAGTTTGCGTAGGTCCCTTGTCTGCAGCAGACATTGGATTTATAGGTGGTGACAGATGCAAGAAACATGTTTGCATAATTATGAGTAGCTGGCGAATTCTGATCCTTCCTGAGTAAATTAGTTCTAGGGAAAATTATGCGTATGGCCTGTCTTAAGTATTGAAATGTGTATTAAATGGATTTATTCTTGAAAAATATTTGAAATATATTTTATGATGACTATATTACTGATTAATGCAATCCATAGGAATCATGAGTAATTCCTTTAAAAATTGTCTTGTCTATTAATTGCTTAGTAGGCACAATTTAAATGGCTTAAGGTCTAATTATTTGTGAATCGCTCCTACTGCTATGAACCTGCCTGATTAATTAGATCACCAAGATATGTGCCACAACTACCAGCACGTCAACTACTGGGCATACAGGGAAAGTATTTCTTCCATGTGGCTTCCAAGGAAGACTGCACAATCCAAAGAATTTGATTCCTATTCCTAATATTTAGGAAGATGGTAAGTCAACCTTTTATTAGTGATTGTAATGTAATGATTGGTTTTAATATTAATTTTGTTCATTTATATTTTGCATTTTTATTGTATTAAATGGTGAGGTAAACACAGAGGCAGGGTATACATTGAACAATAACAATCATTGAATGCCTTGTTGAAAATGTTTCCACATCACCTTTATTAACATCCCATATTAATATTTATCACTAGATATTTATTTCAAATTCCAAGTGATATTCCAATATTAGAGTTATATATATCTATATACCAAGAACTGTGTAATGCACTTCTTCAAATGCTACATCTTATTATATGATGCATAATTTGTACTAATTTGGTTTTGGCTTATAATAATATGTAAAACTAGATATTATGGCATGTTGAGTAAACTTTTTTATTAATACAAAGCATGACTTAATGTGAACTCTGAACCCATCTTATAGTTTGGATTCAAAGGCAATTGCTACTTTTTTAAACTGTAACTTTTGTGAACTTCCTAAAATTGATTTACCTGTAAAGCACAACATGAACACAACATGAAGTTATATAATAGACAATAAATTTCATTCTGGCATATTAAGTTTTGATCTTTATTTAGCTAAAAGTTACAGTGTTTCATTGAAACAGTGTAGCACTCTTTTCAACAATTGCATTTAAATTGTTGATCTAACAATACAGCATGTATCTCTTTATCTATATATATATATATATATATATATACACGATATATACAAATCATACCAATATATGAAACATCAGTCATTGGTTTTAAAAACAGTCACTGAAAACATCAATGCAAATTGTACATTGTAAAATTAGGTTTTTCACTTTACAACAATGGGCTACAACAATGGCCCTGGTTCCAGATAATTATGAAACTAATTTTCTGAATCAAAAAAAGGTGTATTTTTTGCTGTCAAATAGTAGCTCCCATTCTTCTCACATCACAAACTGCTTTGGAAGCTAAAGGAATTTCATATTAGTTTGCAATAATGGGTTGTACAGTTCAAAGGAAAATGTAGAATTGAACTAATACATGTTGGGTGCACTTTTAGATTTCTTTTAAAAATATTTTCCCTTGTATAACAAATGCAAAAACAATTGATCACTGGCATACAATTTCTCCAGAGATTTTCCTGTGACAATGTCTTGGATATACATGAAGGAATTATGGATTTAATGTGCTAACTATTAATGTAAACTTATATACATAATCAAAACCCTAACCTTACCTTATATACAATATACTTACAGTATATATACATATATATATATATGTATGGTATTCAGCTTTGTTCGGGTATTTTCCCACGTCATTATAGTTGTAGCAACATTTCGGCAGAATCTCATCTGCCATCATCAGGCTTCTGTATTGAGTTCGTCTGGACCAGTCTGACTCACAGACGAACACTATACAGAAGTCTGATGATGGCAGATGAGATTCTGCCGAAACGTTGCTACAACTTTAAAAGCACAACTATAATGACGTGGGAAAATACCCGAACAAAGCTGAATACCATACATATAAATACCCGCGAAAACACACACACACACATACAGTATAATAATTTATATACAAAGGCTACTCATAAATATTGAAAAATAGGTTTTAACTTCAACAGGTTACTGTTCCATAAATAATGTTACATATTGTGAGTAAAGTAATATGGAAGACAGTAATTTTAAAATGAGGTGACAAACAGTGGTTTAATACTGAAACTATTAGCTCCTGAGAAGTTTGTGTACCACATATCTGTATGTTAGCAAACAAGATATCTTAGTGGTACTCAGGAGTAGTTAGGGAAGTTTGACTTTGCAAATGAAAGAAAACTGTGCAATCCCTAATTTGAACTGCCCAGATATTGCTGAACCAGGAATAATTCAGTATCATTTTTGCAGATACACGTGTCTCTCTCCTCCCCCCCCCCCACTTTTGTCACTTTTCTGGCTTTTAGATGAACAGTTAGGCTATAACAATGTTTTTTATTGTTGGAAAAGAATGATTTTTTATCTTTAACTCACCAGACGGATTAAAGATATTGGGCAACCCCAGTTATTGTAAAGAAAAAAAATCATTTTAAATTATCCCATATACTTTCTGAGTATTTAAGTTGTTGCCCAAAATACCACTAGACTAATACAAAATACAAGAAGATATTAAGTTGGGACATTAATGTTATTTATATCTGCTACATAAGTAAGTTGTATCCACCCAGTAATGCCAATGTTCTGAGATATGTTAAATAACAATGAAATCTTACATTACATAGCCAAATGCTTACAAAAGAGTGGTCTTTGAAATTCTAAGATGTTTTCTTTAGACAATGTAGATCAAAAAAATAAGCTTTGTGTTTTTAACAATACTAGTATTGGTTACTGACATTTTAGGAATAAGAGAGATTATCACAACTATTATTCAAGTACAGATTATATTGTCCTGCCTAGAACCATAGCTGAATTCTAGCCTTTCTAAGGCAATAAGGGCAAAAATTACAGTCACTTTTCAATAAATCATGTTCCTTATTAACAAGTGCCCTAATGAAACATTAGGTTAAGAATCAGAATGCAATGGGAAATATTTGCTGTATATTTTTTTAAACTGAACCTACGCTTAAAAATATTCTGGTTAATTACATGCCATTTTTTGATTGCTCTTAACTCAATAGTTACTATTGAGCTACTACTATTAAGTTACATTATGCCAATTGTCTAAATGTTACCTAATTAAATTCTGCCTTTTTAGATTCTGGCAGAGAATCTGCTCAGCAATTTCTGTGAAATGAAAAAAATGTCCCAAATCTCTTTACACCTTGGGTTTGAAATAGTATAATTAATATGTGTAGTAACCAAAATGGAACATGATTCTTCCTCTGGCAAATGCAGTACTTGCAACACAGATTTATTACTACAAAATGTAATAGAGAAGAGTTTACCTTCTATCCCACTTGGCAAATTCATTAAATATCTCTTTAAATTAATCATAGAAATGGGAAATATGTATGAATTTCCCCAATCAACATTCAGCTCTTCTTGAATTTCCAGGCTGAGTGATGAATGGGAGATAGACAGGAGTGTGAGAGGTGTGCCTGTTCATATGTTCCTTGAATGCTTATACTCTGTGTAATATATATTGTCCAATCAGGGCAGGATCATGTTCTGGACATCTACTGTACATGACCTATGGTTGTTACCCTATTGTCTCAATAATACAAGACCCATTCATTTAGCAATGAGTGTGTGTGTGTGTGTGTGTTGACAGTTTAGTCAATCATTACAAAACTACATTAAATATAGTTATGAAAAGAATTTTGTCACATGCATCAAAGCCTGGTGCAATTATGTAACATAATATAAAATAATAATAAATGTTAAGTTTAAACATGCATCTGAAAAGTACTACACTATCTGTATACTTTACCTCCAGTAAACTATAGCATTATCTCAATATTTTTGTTCTATATACTAAAAGCCAGATTTTTTGCTAGGAACATCACATTATCTAATAATTTACTGTGCTTTGGTAAAAGCAAATTTTTTAAAAAAATTAAAATGTTTTTATCTTCTGTAATTGCAATACTGAGTACCTCAAGAAGAAAAATGCCAACATTGTATTTTATGAATGGATCAGCAATTTGCCAAATAATGCTCCTATAAATTTTCATTAATTTCAAGAGTTGCCTGGACATAGCTTTAATTAGAACAGAATGCCATAAATTAATATATCAGACATTCTGATGTTTTTTTCCACAAAAATTACGTTCGAGGAAATGACTCCTTGAAATATAGTATAGTACTTTATGCTAACTGATTAAATATACTTTAATTGGAACTTAACAAATCTTCGTTTGGTTTTAATGTTAGAATAACTAAAATTACAAATGGAATTTAATTATAGTTCTATTCTTTCAAGATAGCCAATTAAACAGTTGTAACAGATTTAAAAAATAAGCTTATTGACGTGAAAAATATAATTTTTAGAATATGTCTCTGTAGGCAGGCAAATGTTTTGAACTGAGGTTATTGATTAAACAATATACTGATTTTTCTTACCCTTATTTGGATCTTTAACTTATAAAATGTTTTCTTAAAAGTCAAAATAGTGCTTTTGAGTCCATAGTTATTTGGTATAAAAATAATAACTGTTTTTTTCCCTTGCTTTTAATGGCTAGCTTAGAAATTTGCTGTAAACTAATTTACTTCTCACATCTGTTTTTTCCATTAGGCACATTCAAGTAAATAATAAAGAATCCAAGTAACAATGTCCAAAGCCCAACATGGCTTGATAAAATTTTATAGAGTGAGCTGTCCATTCCCTGGAATGGAATAAAAAAAAGTCATTTCACTCAGCCAAAGACTCAGCTGACTTGATATTAGTATCTATTCTTGTGCAGAATAGTTTCTTTTGCTTTTCTTTCTTTAAAATCCATCTGTTCTATAGTTAGAAGTACTAGCATCAAAGGAAGTGGAGCTGCAAACATAGGCAGAAGTTTCTTTCTCCCAGAAGATGGCAGAATGAAGACTAATGAATAAACAGGTAGGTTAATTGTTGATCCAATCCACAATGATTAAAGTCATACTTCCAACCATCACAATTATGCCACTTAGCAGGAACAGGAGAGCCTAAATAAGTAACATACAAAAATACTGAATTAATTTTGTCAGAAACAAGAGCAAGAAAAACTATTATATAAAAAAGTCAACATTTTTAGTAATTTTTGAAACTGCATCATTCAAAGCCAAAATGAAAAACATTGAACATATTTTGCCTTCAACTATACTGATTTTTGGGAAGGCTAAGAAAATCCAGGCCAATATGCTAGACTTTTAAATATGAGTATATTATGCCACTTAATTTCCAAAATGATTTTCAATGGCTTATAGCGATAAAAGAAATAAAAATGAACATTTAAAGAAAAAAGAGGGGGTAAGATAATGAAAAGGCCTCAGCAGAGTTAATGTAGACATTCATGGAAATTAAGAAAGCTTTATAGTCAAACACTGTGCAAGAATGAAGCTAATAATTCTATGAATATCAAAAAACATTCCCTTTTATTAGGTAAACCAATAAGTACCTACCCCAATTTTTTGCACGGATTGCATGGATTCTTTTTTCACAAGCTTAATGTAGAAAGCTGATGGAAGTATAAAGATTAGCATGGCAGCAGCAGAGGCACCTGAATGATCCATAAAGTTTAATTAGACTGATTATTTTTTATTACATATAAACATTTTTAGAACAATACATATTTCAAACAAGTAACAAACAATCCTCACCAATGACTCCAAATATGTCTCGAATTGTGGGAACAAAAATGACAAGAACGTTGGTGCATACCAAAATAGCTCCTGTAATAATACAATGACGCACCCAACTAAATTCTTTGCTTGCACACAGCAATTGTGTGACAGAACTGCGGATCTGTAAAATACACATTAATTGAATTACTTAATGTTATTAAAGACAGATTAAAATTTACTCCCTCCCAAAAATGTTTTAAATATTTAAATAAATGTTAAATATTCTTTTAAAACATAGAATTTATATTGCCTTCCAACAATACTGATTGTACAATGATGAAAAAAGGAAAACAAACTGAACACAGAAACATGACTTAAAAAGTGAAAATGATAATTAGAACTACCTGCAAGCTCCATAAATACTTGGTTTCCAAAATTCAACATAAATTAACACTGTATTCTCATTAAGTGCATTACTCACTGGAAAAATCACAACTGGAACAGTAAGAATGACTGCCATCAGGACTGCTAAGCGCACAATCAGAAGGAGAGTATCATTCCCAAGCACTGCTGAATAAGTATGGAGTAATTCGGCTTCCACCTTTCCTAGAAAGGGACATGGGTTTTAGCAGGATAATATTCACATAATATAATAAACAAGATTCTTGTGCATGTTTTGAAAGGTTTACAATTGATTTGCAAATGGAATTGTGTGACTATATAGCTTTGTAATATAGAATGCATTGCAATGCGGTAGCCACAATCTATTTGTTGTAACAGTAATAGTAATATTCTTCGTTAAATAGTGTTCTGAATTGCCTGAATTCCAGAAACTTTTACTTCAATCTAAGATTTGACTGCTTGTCAGTGTCCCCATTTAACACCACTATGGTATTTCTATTTTATTGCACATCACATTGTATATTATTAAAGCTACAAAGCTTGTAAAGCTAAAGTTACAAGCAGTGATATACTGTTCAATAAACAAGGTGCCATTAAATTATACCCAAGTGAAAGTTACTGACAGTCTATGATACAATTCAGACTTCCTAACGCCTTCCTCCTTATAACAGCTTTGAGTAGAATGGAATGCCACATGGAACCATGAATAGTCCCCCCCATCTTGCCTCCTGCAGGTAATGGACTCTCTTTGTTTTCATTCCACAGAAGGCAATCAGGCAAAACATAACTGTGATTAACAAAAAATTAACAAAATTGATTGGTCCTAACCTCCCTGACAGCCATTTTTAATTTGTGTGCAGCCATAACATGGTCTCAAAATGACTAATGGGTCTGCTTTATTAAAAATTGAAGAAACTTTTTCATGAAGTTTCTACAGGAAATATGTTTTATTATTCTAGTAGGACTTGTTTCTTATTAGTAATGAAGTTCAGAAGTTCATAGACCCAGCTAACTAAATATGAATAACCAATTCATATTTGTGGAAGGAAGCTTGTGCAAGGAAGGAAGCTTGTGCAAGCTTCTTATTGCGTTAAGTTGAAATTGCCTTCTTAATTAGAATGTACAAATGCTACAATGGAGTACATGTTTACATAAAGACAAAACAGTGTGAGCTTGCTTTATTCCGGTTGACTTGTTCACACTCCAAAGATATATTAAAAATTAACATGCAAAACTTAAAATAGAAGAGTTGCTTTTTTACCATAAAATGTCAAGTATCCAAAGAGAGCAGCCAAAAGATACATGAGGAACATAGCAAAAAATGAAATATTGGACACTTTCATCATTCTTCTGCGGCTTCGGCTATTATAGAGAAACAAATAAATTGCTATGAATATTTATGAAATACATCATTCCATATGTATATGCAATTCTTTAAAAACACATGACAGGTGTTAATATACATGACATACCCTTTCAATTCTTCATAAATAGGGAGAACAGCAGGATGACAGACAAAAGAAAATGTCAGGATTGGTACAGCATAGACAGTCTGGAAAACATAAAAATTGAAATATGACTATTTCTATATTAACTTAAAAGACACTGATAGTTTCTTGAAAAACTAGAGCTATAATTCTAAACAGCATGTTTTATAATTTTTTAATTCATATTCCTCCTTTTCTATGAACAGTTCAAACTATCATCTATAATTGCCCTTTCTATTTATCAACTTTCCCATATGAAAAAATTAGATGGAAGAAAAGTAAATAGCCTGAAGGCAATTGGAACTTTTAATCGTACTCAAATACACTAAATACTAGTAAAGTGTTTGTTAGTACACAATTGTGTACAATTGTTAGTCACATCCACTTTTATTCAAGTCTCCAAGCAGGTTATCAATAACATACACATACAGAGAAAGAGAGAGAGAGATATGGCAACTGCATTTTATGCACAGCATGAAATTATTTAGCATTGAGATGGAATTTTAAAGGTTTAACTAAACGAATATGAGAGTGCTCATCTTGGATTTTATTCGAAAATAATAGAATATATTGTTTATGTAACATTCTTCCAAATTTGCAAACTAATTCAAAGGAGTTAAATAATGGGTGATGTATGGAATTGGTAGGGAAGGGAAACTCCAGCTGTATCAGGTAATACCTGGTTATACCACACTGGATTAGTTTATTCTTTGAGTATTCTGTCTGGTCAAACAACTGAGTAAAGATGAAATTGTTCCCTCACCCATAGTTATGTTCCATTTAATTCAAGGACAATAAGCAAGATACTGATCTTAGTATTGCTATAATAGTTTATATAAGGTGAACAGGAAGTTTCATGACTAGTTAGACTTTGAAGAAGTCACAATTATATTTTCTTAGTTTAATTATTACCTTTGAGTTGAAGACAAAATATTTTGGTACACAGGAATCATAAGTTGCATTAACATTTGTTTCATTTGTAATCAACAGTTGCTCCGTGGTAATGTTTAGAGTTGCATTAATTAGATCATGTTCCGTTCCACAAGGAATTTGAAATTTCTTGCAAATGACCTAACAAAGAATGACCACAGTTAATTTCACATAACTTTGTTGCCATTCTAATTATAATTACAAGATATGATTACAAGTTTCTGTGATAGGATTTGAAGTAATATTCTAAACGTTTAAAAATATAAACAATAATACCTACCACAATAAGGAAGAAGACCATGCACAATAAGGAAAATCCACTGGTGTAGCCTAGATAACCTACAATGATAAAGGAATGTTTAATTTAAAGCATGCAGTATGTGTGAAAAATAACATGTTCAGCATTTTGAACTGTTATGCCATCTTGTTCAGTAGACATTAGTAGGAATTGTTATCAGAAATATTTTAATTTAATATCCACTTACAAATCACCCACAGCACTTTTAATCAAGTAATCAGATTTTCCTTTCCAATACATGATTAGTTCAAATTATTCCAAATGGCAAATAAATCTAATTTAGCAAGTTAACTATTGGCATATATCCACTAAGAATATACAGTGTGGCCCAATTAAAGTCAGATAATATATTCCAAGTTAAGCCAATATAAAATTAGAATATTTAATGTGATGCAAATAGTGCTACACTTTCCTTTCAGGGCAGTCATCATAATATTTTATTCATGTATTGTTTTAAATTAATATAGGCCAACCAGAGGGTTTCATGAATTTGATTATGCTATTTACATCTGCATATACAGAATAAAAGAAAAAAAACTGTCTCGACTATTAGGGATTTCTCTTACTGAATGCAAGTAAGTTAACCATTGTTTTTCTTGTTTATTCCACATTAATACCACCATTATCAACTACTTACCTAAATTTTTCAACAGTGATAAAGGAAGGATAAGCAACAAGGATACTAATATAACCAAATAATCGCCATTAGTATACCAATACAATTCTCTAGAAGGAAAAGGAAAATGCACACGGTGAAATCCTTGAATGGTAATCTGACAATTTAAAAATATGTAATATTAGGTGTCTGCGCAAGTGAAAGCACCTGGCCAAGCTAGACTGGTTTTGAAAACATACTTAGTACTTCAATGAGAAACTTCTAAGGAGCTCAAGAGCTCTAGCCTAGATCAGGAAATCAAAAAGATTTATCAGAAGGAAATGATTTAACTACTTCCTTCTTGCTGCCAATAAAACTATAGGGACATATTGGCAGAACTCAGGAATTGAATTTCAAGCGAAGATTTTATATTTTGAGGACTGTTTGAGATTATAATGCAGGAAGAACAATTCTGGAGTGTCTTCTGCACGTGGTTTTTCATATCTGATTATTTGTATTTATATATTTATTTGTATCCCACCTTTACTATTTTTAGAAATAACTCAAGGAGACAATATATTTAACACACCTTCTTCTCCTTTTTCCACAAAAAACAACCCTGTGATATGGCTTGGGTTGAGAGAGAATGAACTTGGTCCAAAGTTACACAGCTGGCTTTCACAGCTAAGACAGGACTTGAACTCATGGTCTCCCACTTTGTAGCCTGGTGCCTTAGCCACTAGACTTTCAAACAGATCTCTCCAGAGGCAGGAAAGCATAACTGGAATTTACTACTTTAGTTACCTTTGTTTGAGAATTTAACCTGTTTCAACAGAAGTCCTCAAATATCAATGTCCCTTTTTACATGTTCCCATGAAAACAATTTCTACTGAGCAGTTCTAGGACTTACCCTGAATGCTCTTCAATGTTCAAAAATGTTTTGATGACCAATGGTAATTCATATTTCACAATGTAGAGGTAGCTTGACATAGCTGGAAGTGAATAATGTTGTAGATAATTACAATGATAACATATTAAAAATCACAAAATACAATTCCAAATGACATGATTCAATTTGTTAATCAAAGCATGTTTTGTGAAAAAATAGTTTTTGGAATAAGAAGACCACCGCTTTTAGGGTGTCTGAGAAGGATCTTACCTCCAATGTTCTGCATTGTAATTGATCCAGATGCTGCAAGTTTTCCAGGCATGCCAAATGCTTTCATTCCCAATTGTTCATATAATAAAGATCCTATAGGAACAGAAATTTGGAATAATGCAATTTAGAAAGGGAAAAGAGGAGGGTCAAAACTATAACAAAACAGTTACTGTCATTACCTCCTTCGTTGGAAGTCTTCAAAAGAAGATGAACAGAATATAGAGAAAATATTGACACGAAGACTAAGAGAATTCTAAAAAACAAATACAAATGCAATGTTTTGTTTTGAAATTGAATATGTAAATAAAAAGCATAAAGAACATATACATTTATACACATATTTCTGCCAGTGAGTTAAATTAGAACTATCTGAACACACTTAAATTCTTTATTGGTTATAATGGCTTTGAAAAATGAATAAATTTAACATGGTCACATCATTCCCAAAGTAAATAATGAAATTAAATATAAATTTAAATGCAGTGAATATATTAGGAATATTTACTGTGCTCAGGGGACAAGGAACAGTCTAAGAACGATTAAAAATTCCAACTGCCACTTTTAAAAATATAAATCTAGCACAAATCATTTCTAGATCAAGGGATCTACTCATGGTCACTCATGCTTTGGTAATCTCTGCTAGATTACTGCAATCCACTCTATATTGGGCTGCTCCTGAGGACTATCTGGAAACTTCAGCAGATGCCAAATGTAATTAGTTAGGTTTGTTTCTGGTAGAATATATGTCACACCTCCACTGAGAACATCATTGTTTTCCAGTGTGTTTCTGGGTCCAATGCAAGGTGCTGGTGTTGATTTCATAGCATGGCACGGAGTTGTTTGGGTAACTACCTCTTTCCAATTTTATGTTCCCATCTACAATGCAAAGAGGGCATGTTATGGGTTCAATTATCTATGGAGCTACATTTTGCAGGCCCTTGACAATAAGTCTTTTCTGCCTTGGCACATGTGCTATGGAATCTTCTCCCTGAGACAAGGTTGGCCTCATCACTGTTGGGCTTCTGGAGGACCCTTAAGACCAATTTATGCCTGCAGGCCTGGGGATTCTAGGAGATGGACGAACTAGTGAGGTAGCTCCGCTATTTTTAACAGTTTTTTGTCTATTATTATTTATTTTAGCTTGATTTTAAACTTTTAAGATATTTATTAACTGTTTTTTGCTCTGTTGTATACTGCCCAGAGCACTTTGTGTGGGGGAAGCTATATAAAATGGTTAAATATATATATATTATATATTTTATATATATATTATATATATATATTATTTATTTTTATATATATATATATATATATATATATATATAAAATCTGTCAAGATTTAAGCTAATTCAGATTCAGAATGGAGTCATTTTAAAGCTGATCAATGTTGTCTACTCATAGTCTGAAATGCTTATTCCAAGAAGAAATAATTTTTTTTAAATTTTAGTCCTTACTTTACAATATATTTTATATAAATTTATTTCCAATAGAAAGGATAAACTATTTAAGAAAAAAACCATATTACATGGTTTTACATTTTTTATATCTGTTTGCAAGCCTCACTGAACTCATGGTTTATTCTAAAATACTTACACTGATATAAAATGTATTGAAAATCTGTGTGTGTGTTTATATGTGAGAATTTCCTCTGACTTAAGTGGGCTTTTTGTCAAACCCTGCCTGTCAGAGAATCCCACTAGCATGCATTATGCTGATTACATTGTAACCACTGCAAAACATTTTTGGAGCATGAAATGGCATAATAAAATAAAATTTTGTATCTGGGTTTGGTTTTTTTAAACCTGTATGGCACATTTTTGCTTAAGTTTTTTTTCATGTTCTAGCAAGAACATTTTAAAATAATTTGCAAAATAAAAATAAATGCCATACACCAAAATGTGCTTCACAGTTCAGTTTGTTTTGGTGGCAACATTACCAGCATACTGCATGTTGAAACATTCCCACATGACCATCAATGAATCAATCATTTTGAGGGACCTGAGAAAGGGGGAAATTCAGAAGCATTAATAATTGCAGTTAAAGCAAATTGGGCTATTTTGAATATGAGCTTACATACAGACTTTGAATGAATTCATATTTAAAGATTAATTTGAGGGACCAAAGCTGTTTGCACTTAACAGTATAGCAGACATGTTATTTAAAATTAGGTGGACCCTGTTCCCAAGTACATATTTCTAGCATGACTGCCTTCAAGAGCTTGACTGCTCCTCATTGCCAATATGGATTAGTGAAAGACACAATTGCAATTGCAACTGCTCTTGGTTTTTATATTAATTTCTAATGATATTGGAATGTTGTCTGGCTATCACAGAAATCCCTAGACACATATCTGAATTTTTAATCCTGCACTTAACATTTAAAATATTATTTCTATATTTCTTTGATTTTTACTAATAACCAACATATGCATGCCACTATATATTTGCCTTTCAGAATATGCAGTCCTTTACCTTTTCACAAAGCCTCCTAACAGCAATACATCTCTATGTATCTCCTTGCTGTTCATACCAATGACTACATAGCTAAATTCTACTTGGGATCTGTTGCTCTCTGTAACCTGACAGATGCCCTTTTCTTATTTAAAGCTAGACCAACAGCAGACTCTTACAACATATGCTTTTCTTAATGGAAAATTATCAAGGAAAAACTGACATGCTTTATGATACTATAGGCAAAATATAGGATGGCAAATAGTATCCAAATCTAGTTTATTTCTCATTTTTATAAATAACTGAAGGTGATGAACATACTTAATTCTCCTCCCTCCTGCTATTTTACCACAGTAATAACTCTGTGAGGTGGGTTGGGCTGAGAGAGAATAATTGGCCCAAAGTCACCAGCCAGTTTAGTTGTAGAACATTATAATCCATAAATTAAAATGGATAAATTGAAGTATTTTTCCTACAAATAGTTTGAGAAAACTATTAGTGATATTTATATTAATGTAAAAATCATTTTTGAGGAAAGACACAGCAAACAAAAGGCAACTTAACAAATTATAACTAAAACACTAAAAGTGAATGCAATTTCATTTTTATAGTGTACAAATTCAAAAATTTCAAAATGTTTTGTTTAACTTCCATTGCCCACAAAAAAGAAGGAAGATGTATATGAACTATTCAAACCTAAATGTTTAAAATCCTACTGGCTCCAATATGAGAAACATAAACAAGCTGTATTCTTCAATTGAAATTACTGGGTCTCTAAATTATTAGTTTGAGCTGAATTATTTTTCTGTTCAAAGTAATTTGCAGTCTAATCTCATAAGCTTGCCACTTAAAACAATTTACTGTGAGTTCAAGCGTATTTCTAGATAAATGTTCACTAGTTCTTGCCTCTAGCAATGTCAATGGGATTAAAATGGCTTGTGTTCAGATAGTTTAGTAGAATTACCTTTTAGGCTTGAAGCAAGCACCTACAATATTTTCCTAAAACAATAATATATTGTGATTTTATTGCATTCTAATACTTACATAAAGAGAGCAATTCCTGTGTTTGCCATGGCATAAGAAAGTCCAAGGATGCCACTGCCTACAATAACATTGCTCAGGTTAAATACTGACATTCCAAAGGAAGTTGTACCTGGATGCTGTAAATAAGAATGGTGAAAGTTCACAATTTGCTCTTACTTGCGAGAGGTTTTATAATAAAATTGATTTTACTTTGTAAAAACATATTGGTATGTGCTTACATATTCAGTTTCATATTTCTTCTTCCCTTGGTTGGATTCAAGTAAAAAGTTTTGGTTTTCTGGATCCATATCTATATAATGGCTGTGAAAGGAAGAGAACGAGGAACTTTAAATACTATTGTAAAATTCCACTTATTTTAACTGAGTTAAAATCTGAATAAACGTGTCCACAATGTGCAACATTCTCTTTTTTTCCCCTGGCTTGTGATATGGTTAGTTTTAAAGATTTTCCTTTAGTGGGGGAATTCTAAAAGCAGAACTCTCTCCCTGTCCCTCCCCCCATCCTATTTTCCCCCAGTTGAGGCAGGTATTTGAAGAGGATGTTGTACTGTGGTTCAAAGTAAGGCAGAGAAATCTCCTGACCTCTTCATCACAGCTGATTTGGTGGGGTACTGATAGCTGAAGTCGTTGCCGTTAGAACTGTAGCTGCTGCTGTCCTCCTCTCCGGTGCTGTTCAGCTTGCCCATTTCAGCTTTGGTCATGCTGGGATCCAGGATGTCTTCTCAGGAAACGGGCCAATCAGGCCAAATAATTATTTGGGTTGGGAGGGGTCGCTCGGGGTCCTCGTGATCTTTTGTCCTTGGCGTCAGCGGGTCCTACCTAGTCTGCGAAGGTGAGGGGGGAAAACGTCAATACTGCAGCAGTCTCCCGAAGCTGGTCACGTGAGACGCTGCTTCGAAGCTGCTGCTCACCGCGGCTGATTCAGCCAGGCGAGTGGAAAAGTACCAGCAGAGAAGGGCGGGATAAGCGAAGCGGGGCGAGGGAAGGAAAAGTACTGGGAGGAGAACAAAGCTATCTCGTGCTAGAACACTGGGAGCACACTCTGTCTGGAAAAATGGGGTGGCTGGTGTGTGTGGTGGTGGGAACACAAAAGATATACAGTGAGAAGTCAGAGCAAAAAGAGGCTTCTCTGCCCAGCCAAGCAGATAAGCAAAGAGCCTTCACGCTTCTTCTCCGTTTCCATCCAGAAACTGAGAAACACAATACATCCGCCGCAGGTAAATTAAGATCAGGGAAGCTTATCAACTCTCTTTCTCTCGCGACACGATTGCGTAATCAGATTAGGAAACGAACGAACTCCACCCATCCGTCGTCTTTTTGCCCGGAACTTCACATGATGCAATCTAAGTAACCGATTGTTACAGTCCCTTTCTAACGTTAACTGACTGCCGCCCGAAGCATCTCTTGGACTTTCTGGGCCGTTTCCAGCTATTTATTTCTCCTCCTCCTCGGGAATTCTCCCTTCCCGGGAATTCTACTTCGGAAAATGTGGACAACAATGCAAATCAGTCACAAGACTGCATTACCAGCGACGTCTTTTATGGGGAGGGTTTGAAAAAGCGGGGGGGGGGAGACCCTGGACGCCCTGCTGTGATACAGTAGCGCTGGCGGCGGCTGATGAATTCCCACCCCCCCCAATGCTTCCCTCCCTATCCCGCTTACATCTTAAGTCTCACACATTCTTACATTTAAAAAATAAATCCACAGCTAGTTATATCACAAGCAAACCCACTCAAACAGCTGTTGATATCTTCTTCGAGCCTCCCCCCCAAACCTTAGAATATTTTACCTCGATCTACAAAGTTTAAAACCTGCAAAGTTCCGGAGCTTCTTTCTTCGGTCGATTTCTCTTTAAACGGAAGCAAAAAAATCCTTTGATACTGACAGTCAGAAGGACCGGTACGAAAAAACAAATAGTAATAAAATTAAATATATTAAAAATAGAATTGTAATATGTCAAGCCGACAGAAAACGGGAAGTTAGGTTATTTCTGGTGAAATCAGACAAAGGCCCCGGCGCTCAGGACAGCAGCACTCAGATGAACGAGATCGATGAAAAAGCCACTCGCGGAACAGCACACCCGGTTCTGGAGGACGCGCTAATGCCTCCGCTTTTGAGAGAAGCACGTGGTGACGTCAGAGCGAGCGAGCAATGGAAGGGAAGGGCGGGGATTCGCCTCAGCAGCGTTCCTGTGTGTATCAACATTGTGCTTCGTGGCTCCACCCCTCTTCTCCAAACACTCGCTGCGACTTTTTATTTATTTATTTATTTATTTATTTGATTTGCCAATTGTTTACAAGATAATAAGTATAAGTGTATACATAGTTGTGAATACATGAAATGGGTACATATAAGAAAAATAAAAGAATAAGAGAAACAATAGGACAGGGACGGTAGGCACGTTGGTGCGCTGGACCTCCCGGTCGTGGTCGAAGAGAAGATATCTCAAGCTGACCCTACCCGGTGTTTTATTTAGACGCTATTCGAAGTAACTCGGCGGAAGCCTTAAATCAACCCGGTGCTGAAAATAGGGAAGAGGTTTATTTATTTATCTTAGGCAACTCTCCGGTTTCAAAGGGGTCACAACTGAGATCATGTAACTGCTTCCAAGAATCTGTGTGGTCCTGGCAAACTTGAAATTCTCACTGATAATGACAGTGCAGGGAAGAGAGAAGTTAAATTATACTTTAACTCGGAAAAATTCCAGGGAAAATGATGTCATATGCCTGCCAGCAAGTTATGCATGCTAAATCCTGGGAATGTCTTCTGAATATTATATACACTCTTCAGTTGGGTTGCTTAACGATAGAACAGCCAGATTGGTGTGGCAGTTACAGCATCAGGCTAAAAACATGAGATCTAGTCTTGTCTTGAGCATGAAACCAACTAGGTGACTTTGGGCCAGTCACTCTCACTCAGTCCTGGGAAGCAGGCAATGGCAAACCACTTCTGAAATCTTGCCAAGAAAAATGCAGGGACTTGTTGCCAAAAGTCAACATTGCCCAATCTTGCCAAGAAAACTGCAGGCAATTGCCAGGAGTCTATGTTCTCAAAGACACTCTAAATAATTTGTACAGTAGGATAAAATCATTATTATGCTACCTCAATTGACAATATCCTGGTTAAGATTTCAGATCACACATCAAATAAAAGCAACAAGAACAAATGGAGATAATATTGATTATCTTGAATTCTGCAGTTTGGTTGATGTAAAAAATTGACTAGAGTGTTAATGCAAAATGCAGTATTCTAACTGAAATAATAGAAAAACAAAATACCTTCATGTAAGCCCTTCTTATAAGGTAGAGAAGATTATTATAAAAAAGTTGAGTTCTACTGTGGGAAGCCTACATCTAAAATAGTTTGTGTTACATTTCAGTTATTTTCTCTAAAATTCTAGTCCCATTGTATCATCAAGTACAACCATAACTAATACTTTCTGTAGGAGACATTGGCAGATAAATTGCAGTAGTGAGGAACTTGGTGTAGTTCTGTATTATTATTAACCATGCAATAAGTAACTAGAAACTCACCAAAAGAAAGTAATATAATTTGCATAATTTTTACTTTTAATACAAGTTTATTTTTAATACAACTTATATTTAACAAACTTAAGTCTTGAGTTATGAATACCATTTTAAAATAATTTTCAGTTTATATCACTGTTTTCAAAATATTGAAAGCAAATTTATATATTACCCAAGACTCCAAATTTATCAAATCCCAAATTAATGCTAATCCAGACCAATTTAATTTTCTTATGAAAACGTATCTTATTTTCTTGCACAGGAAAAGTAAAAAATTGTTTCAGCTGATAGAACTGAACTAGAGCAAAATCATTTTTTCTATATGTTCTAATTATCTAAATGTTTGGTAATCATTTCTCAGAAAAGATATATTATTAATAATAAAATATAAAATCAGAGTAAAATTCAGTACCAGGTAAAGATGAACTGCATGGATTTTGGCTGAGACACCTGCATGGTCTATATCCGTGATGGCGAACCTATGGCATGCATGCCACAGGTGGCACGCAGAGCCATTTGTGCCAGCACACGAGCTGCAGGCAAACTTACTGCGCATATGCAGTATTTTCAGAAAAACAGGAAGTGATGAAACGGGCTGGTTTTTGGGCTGCAAAGCCTGCAGAAGCCTTCCTCAAGCCTTTGGGAGGCTGAAAAAGGCCTCAAACCAGCCGAAAATCAGCTGTGAGGTGTAGTGCAGGTAAGGGGGTTGGGGGGGATTGCGCACGCATGGGTAGAGGCTGTGAGGGGGGCATGCATTGCCTTCTGGATGCTGGCACGTAAGCGCTAACATGCAAACACGTGCACAATTTTTGGCACAGGAGCCCAAAAAGGTTAACCACTGCTGGTCTATATCCACTAATTGTCAAGCAGTTTAAAGCCTATTTCAAGAAGGTAAAACTAAAGACTAGCAAAATCTATTTGGCAATGAAAAATCCAATAAAAGAGGTAGCAACAGGCAACTACAAACCAATTACCTTCTTATCAAGAACTTTCAAATTGTTAATTTAGTTAAAAATAAGCTGTTTCCACCTGAGCAGAAAGGAAACTGCCCGAACAGTAGAGGACCAAAAGATGGTTGACAAGTTGATTTTGGAAAACTGAAAGAAAAGAAAGACCAACTTGAATGTAGCCTGGATTGATTATAAGAAGGCATTCGACTCCCTACCACATGATTGGATAATCAAATGTCTAGAAATAAGGAGTCAGTAGAAACATCTGAAACTTTATGCAAAGATCGATCGCACAATAGAAAACACAGTTGCTAGTCAATGGTGATAGACTGGGAAGGGTTAATATGAGAAGAATCTTTCAAGGAGACTCATTATCACCACTATTATTCATCATTGCATTGTGTAAGCACTGGACTTTTCTCCTTCAACCGAAAAGAATGAACTTCTGAAAGCTAGGTACTTCAAAAGGAATTCTTTATTGAAAGGAAGCGAACCTGGTACTAGTCAAAGCAGAATCTAAGATGCTTCCAGGCATACAGTTATAGATAAAGGGAGTTAGAACTCCTCCCCTTATTCTGATGTGCATTTAGTCAAACAAAGAACCAACATGTTAATTCCTCCCCCTTTTCTGGGAACGTATCTTAGAAGATTTTCCCAGGAAGTATCTTTCAGAGCTGGAATTTTTATTGTCCCTTCTCCTCTTACAATCTCTCCAAGATATGACAAGTTTCTAGACATCTGGCTCCAGTTGTATATCATGTGCAAGTTATAAGATTCAATATAAGGTTTAAGATATTCAGGTTACATCAAAAAGGATTATTTGTATCAACTCCCCCCCCTCCCACGGATCTGACATATTGCCCTCCTCAAAAATTTGAGAAATCCACCTGGAAGACATAAAACATGTGTTACATTTACAACTTAGGATGGTTTGTGAGGGTATTTCAGGTGGAACTTCCATAGTAATGTGGGTGCTTTTACATGTTGTTTGGCTACCCACTCATTTTCTGAGGAAGGAAGGTGTTTCCAAGGTACTAAATATTGTGTGGAACCATGGTGAGTGTGCGAATCAAGGATATCTTTAATTTCAAAATGTTGTTCCCCATGTACCATAATGGGAGTTGGAGGTGTGGGAAGGGGGGGTGTCTAAGATTTGAAGTGATCTCTGGTTTGAGTAGGCTATAGTGAAATACTGGATGAACCTGTCTAAGTATTTTGGGGAGTAGAAGCTCTACCATAACAGGATTAATAATTCTGGAGATGAAAAATGGCCCAACGAATTTAGGTCCCCGTGTCTTATAGGGTAGCAATGATTTTAGGAATTTTCTAGACAAATATATGCAGTCCCCAACTTTGAATGGTTTAGGATCACAACATTTTTTGTCCGCCTGAGCTTTAAAACCTGCTCTAGCCTCTTGTAAGGCTAGTCTGATCATTGGCCAAATGGTTTGCAAAAAACCAGTGCTGCTGTGGACCGAGTTGTTGTATGCTACCTCTGCAAAAGGAAGGTCAGTCCAATTGTCCTGTTGGTAATTAATAAAGCATCTTAACTATTATTCTAATACGCTGTTAGATCGTTCTGCTCCACCGTTAGTCTGGGGGTGATTGGAAGATGACAACCCCTGGGTGGAGCCTAATAGGTTTAAAAGCACCTGCCAAAATGTGGATGTGAATTGTCCACCCCTATCTGAGATAATCTGTTGGGGAGCTCCATGAAGACGATAAATGTGTATTAAAAACATCTTTGCCAGTGCCTTGGCTGTTGGGATTTTGGGCATGGTACAAAATGAACCTGTTTTGAAAAAAGATCAGTTACAACCCAAATGACAGTATTTCCTGCACTTTCAGGGAGCTCCACTATAAAGTCCATAGAGCTCTCTTTCCAGGGTGCTGAAGATTCTGCCACTGTTTGTAAAAGTCCAGGAGATTTTCCTTGTCTTCTGTTTGCAGCAGCACAGATGGGGCAACTAGTAACATAGTTTTCAATGTCCTTTTTCATAGATGGCCACCAAAATTGTCTTTTCATGAGGTGCAGTGTTTTTACAAAACCAAAGTGTCCCACTATTTTTGCGTCGTGCACAGACTGACTACATACAATGCCATTCCAAAGTGACAACAATGGTGCATTATAGTTATTTGCAAGAAATGTCATTTTCCTGAAAGCAAGAATCAAGGGATCACAAAATAGACAAATTATAGAAAATGAAGAAGCTAAAGTGCTCTGGAAAGAGTGTTGTCTTACCTGAACGCTTCTTCTCATCACGACGATGGAGAATCCATAGCTGGGTTGACACATGCCATTCTGCCTGGAGACTGAGTCCATAATTTTAGCCACACCCCTTGTCAACTGTCAACTTTCCCAGTTCACAACAAAGGTGCAGCATCTGAAGGACTCGGTGGTGGCGCTGGCTCCTCCGGTGTTACTGTGCTGGACGAAGGACCTAACTGCCACCTAGGGAGGGAAGGGATTCTCTATCATCATGATGAGAAGAAGTGTTCAGGTAAGACAACACTCTTTCTCCAGCACAATGATTGGAGAATCCATAGCTGGGACATACAAAGCCTGGTGTCCCTATGGGTGGGGATTGTGGTCCTAAGTCGCCCTA